TCGAGACTCCCGGCAAAACTCCCACGGGACTCCTGTCACGGGGTCCTGCGGGATCCTGTAGGAGTCAGGTGGGACTTTCAAGGGATTTCTCAGGACTCCTGAAGACTCCCGTGGGACTTCTGTGGAGCTTTGGAGTCCTGCGGGAGTCCAACGAAAGTCATCAGAATCCTCAAAGTCCCACGGGAGTCTTCAGAAGTCCTGAGAAATCTCTTGAAAGTCCCACCTGACTCCTGCAGGATCCCGCAGGAGTCCTGTGGGAGTTTTGCCGGGAGTCTCGACTAGGGGAAGCATATCACCGACAGAAAAATAAAGTTCCCATGTGCTGAAAATCGCTTCATTTTTGTCAATTAATCGCGATGCACGAAAAAATTATAACTTAATCGCGGGGCAAATCCATCTGAAGTGTATATATAGGTTTTTCTTGCATTCCCAGTTCGATTATGACCATAATCGACCATAAAAAAGCTTTTTCAAATTCTAATTTTCTAATTTTCTAATTTTTCTAATTTTTTTGTATGGTCGATTATGGCCATAATCGAACTGAGAATGCAAGAAAACCTATAGGAAGTTGCTTTTATCAAAACCTAAGTTTAAAATACTGCGATAAAACCCAGGTATACTTGATTTTTAAAAGTTGAATAACTCGTAAACCTGACATGGTACATTCTTCAAAGTTGTAGAGAATATAGTTCATATGCCACTCTATAATAACAACCTTAAGCGGTTTGTCGAAAAAAGGAAGAACATGTTGTAAAATTCATCGCGGTGGTGATCAATTCGCATTGAGAGTGGCGCCAAATCCGATAATTTTGCTGGGAGAGTAAAAGTCATTTTTCTCGGGTTCTGCATCAGCTATAAAGCCAGAAAAAACAGTTTCTAACGTAATTCAATGTGCTCTAGAAAACTAGATTGGTCTTAAGTGAAGCGAAGAAAGTTGCCGTATTGATGGGACACTTCAGATGGATTTGCCCCGCGATTAAGTGATAATTTTTTCGTGCATCGCGATTAATCGATGACTTTGTCAACCATCGCGATTAATCACGAAAATCATCAATTAATTGCGATTAATTGTTGATTTTAAGTGATTAAATGGTTGTTGTTATTCACCGTTTTCTTTTACAATAAAGTTTGTGTATAAGAAACACGATTTCAGCGAAAAATACACTTATATTCAGATCATCTTTTTATTTTAGAATACAACGAAGTTGTCAAGAGTCTTCTCTATTGTTCCTCAGAGCTTTAAACCGAGAAGCCCACTGAACAGCTGGTATGTGGGCAATGTTTAAAGCTGACTCGTCGGTAATACTCCGACGCCAGCTGGTGCTAAGACCATTGCTGTGTGACGCACATGTCATTATACGTAATAAACAATGAAAAAACAGAAAAAAATATGTATTTCCTAAGATGGGTTCGAACCTAGTACCTAGAAAAAAATCGTCAATTAACTGCGATTAATCGCTAAAATCACCAAAAAATCGCCAATTAATCGCGATTAAGCGCACGATTAATCGTATGATTTTTCACGATTAATTGCCGATTTTTAGTACATGGGTTCATTTAGAGTCTCGAAAATGCTTTTTCATATTCAACACACTCGATATCTCAGAAGATGGTCTATTTATGGCAAGGGATATTACTAAAAGTTTAGGAAAAATTTTCGAACAAAATGGCGCAAAAAAATTTCCATAAAAGAATAATATTAGTTTCAAAATTTTTCTTGAACTCTTGGCAGTATCTCTCGCCAAAGACCATCTTCTGAGACATCGAATGTGCTGAATATGAAAAAGCACTTTTCAAAGAACTTTATTTTTTTCTTCGCGTTCATATACGATGACATTCGTTTATTAAAAGAAGTTGGAAAGATGAAAAATGTTAAACAGGAACAACGAGAATAACAATTATTATTGTCTATTTTTGTAATTTTTCTATCTAATTACTAATTTTTAAAGTTTATCCATTTTTTTTAAGGTTCTTTTTGTTTGTTGTTAACACTGAACGATGTTTTTCTTATTCAAGCAACAGAAAAAAAATAAAATCATTTTTATTCATAAAATACTGTCTGTATGTTGCTATGCTTCGGTCGTTAGGATTAGAATTTGCAGCAAAAAAGAGAAATTACTGTTGATACTCTATTTTCTGTTTCATCTCAATTTACTTTTGCTTGTTATTCATCGCAACACAATCACCGAGAGTGACCGATCAAGTATCAAAACAGATTTTTTCCTGATGATGTCGCTATCACAACGTACCTAAAAAATGCTCAGTGAATCTGTCAGAATAAGCATACAAGAGAAGGAAATTTCATATACTCGGAATGAAACTAGGATCTTTATAGGATGCTAAACGGTCAATCGATGTTAGTTAAGTCAAATACTTTATACGGATCTTCTGCATAAACACAACATTCAATTGCATAACTGGAATTCGATGTAACAACGGTTATCAATGAATTTCTCAACTAATAAAACAATCATCGAAACTCGATACAGCTTCACCCTTGCATAACTTAAATTGTTCATGTGCTTCATCATCATTCCACGTATTCGTTTTGTCGCTATCAGCAGAAAAAGCTTTGATCATAACTGGATATCCTACAACTGGGTGTTTTCGTGAGAACATTTTCAATTGATGATGATGATGATGATGAGCCAGTCAACTGATATATCTCTTAATTTTTACACAATGTTCAACATCACTGACTTTGCCATCATAGCCAGGCATCAAACTAATATTCTCTTTTTTAGCTATTCGTTTACTTTCAATTTTATCATCCATAGCCATTATGAACAAACTTGATGATCTAATAAATTCAACACTGTGCTCAGTCTAAATCTACTTAATAATTAAAAATATAGTACTAACAGATAAAAATAAAACACAAACAAACTTTTTTGCAAATTTTGGATTGTCGAATAAAAATTCGTAACCTGGATAAACCTAAAACGTCACTAAAAGTTAATTTTTTTTGCTCAATTAATTTTGTTCAAAACGATCTATCTACATACTGCTTCTGCTCTGGTTAATTCCACAGCGTCTTAACTAACATCTTCATTCAAATAACTTAATTTAGTTTGTGTTGATCTAATACAAACCGCTTTATCAGCCATTTTTACAAAAAGTTATCGAAAAAAAAGTAGATAACCAAGAACTTTTTTGTTATTTTGATTTTACAATTATTTTGAATTCTAATATGAACACCAACTGTTTTTATCCCTATCGTTTGACAAGTGCGTACTATACAACATTCTATTTCATCAATAAATATTTTTATCAAATTTTTATAAAAGATAACCAGAGAAAAGAATCAATGCTATCAGTAAAATAATACCATCACACATTTAGCTTACTAACTCATTTACATGAACATGATAAAAAAATAAAAATTATCAGAACCATTTGATGAAGAATAAATGGAATTCGATCTTTTTACAATTAAATACAGCTGAAAAAGCAAACGTGTATGAACAGGTACGAAAAACAAAATGGCTCGTATCTAAAACAAGAAATATGAGAAAAAAAAAGAATACATAACTAAAGTTGATTTATCATTAGAGGCCTCAAATTAGTTGAATTTTTCTACAGTTCCAATGTTTCAGCAACTTACGAGAAAAAATCAGGAGCAGATATCACAAATGTACAATATAAAGAAAAAATGCACTTGATCGAAAGAGTTTAACTCACATTATTTAAGCTCAAAAGAACATCGATAAAAAAAGTGTATCACACCAAAAGGATAAATAAAAACAAGATTTAAACAAAAATATGTTAACTAGATTGCGTCATTTTCCTCTATATATATCCTAGAACAAAAGATGAAAAAGAAAATATGACAATGATTAGAATAGTTTACTATCTATACACATTACCTCTTTAATTCATTAAATATATCGTCATAAATATGTTTCGTCACCATTGTGACAAAATTTAATGTTAATTGATGTTGTTCATCATTCTCATTATTTGAATTTAATTTCTTTTTCTTCTTCAATGCATTAAATGTACTTGATGAACGATGTTGAATCTGTCTAACAAATAAACTATCCTTTTTCGCTACTTCATCATCATTATTCTCCTCATCAGATAATAAGATTAGTTTTTGTGTTTCCCGACTAGTTTTTTCATCATCTATCATTAATGATGTCGAACGTTTCTCGCCGTCTATTCGATTATCTATTCTTTTTATGAGTTTATTTTGATATTTCATACTGTCAATTACTTCATTTAAAACGCTTTTAACAACTTTATCTGAGAATACTCGAACAACATTGTCTCTGTATTCCAGAGAGGAATATTGTTTCATATTATCGTATGATTGTTGGAAAGACGAAGTTAATAGTTGATCAGCAAACGACTGTATTGTGTTCAATTTTTCAGAAGACTTAAATGGTGGGTAACAATCAAACAATAGAATAGATGTTGCTAAATTCTCATCAATATCACTCGTGTTGCTGGATGATTTCTCAGACAAACGAATATAATCAATCTAAATTGAAACAAACTTTTCAAACGACTAACATTTTGAGGCATGTTCTGCAAGAATGAGTATTGAGGATAAAATTACCTGTACAAATGCCGCTCTCATACATTGATCAATTAACTCATTGACAAAATTTTGAATACTAAGTAGATGACATCGATTTCTATCGATTTTCGGTACCCACGGTTTCCTTAAACTAAATGAATACTGTACAAAATTATTTTTATTAATATTCGCCGAACTATGAAAATTCATTGTGTGAATGGTATTAGTTGGAAATCGGGATTGGAATTTAACAAAATCACTTTTCGTTGCTGGTACACTATAACGAGTTGGAGTGTTGTTCTTCATCAGAGATTTTCTATCACGTGTACTGCTACTCGATGATCGACGTAGCAATATTGTCCCATTGACATTCATTGATAACAATGAATTTGTTGTGATAGAACGACTATTTATTACTGCATGATTCGACGTAATCGGTAAACTTAACTGACACAGTACAAGTTGAACTAGCTGTTGAGCTTTCTTGTCGGCCAAACGAATAATATCTAAAGCAAAAAAAAACCAGCACTTCTGAATTACTCAGTTTGTCAAATTTTTATACAGTTTTCACCCACAAAAAGCAAATGAGAAGCTCTTCTTAATTACACCATTGCAACGAATTAGGCTTTGATATCGGTTAAAGAAAAACAACAATTACCGCCGAATTGCTGTTGTTCCATGACAGTTTACGTTTTTCTATGATTGCAATACATAAATTGGTTGCACCTAGTCTAGAACAGAAAAGCATGCACAGTTATACAACAAACTTATGCTTAATGTAAAATTCACAGCAAATAAACTAATAGAATGCTCAGGAACTTAAAAGAGAACTCTAAAAATCACTTTTGAGTTATAAAAAAAGAACTGGTCGGCTTAATCGCGTACCGGAGTGCTATATGAGTTTGAGTGCGTTACCGTTTCTGCTCTTTTTGTTTGTATTATAGATTAGAAGAGAAGATGCTACCAATGTGAGGGACGTCTGACTTTGTAGTTGAAAGTGTACTCTTCAAAATCCACTCTACGATTAGCTGAATTCACTCAATATTCTTTGCCCTACAATCGCAATACTAATATCTGCGAGAAAAGCAGATTTTAATTTTAAGGTTACTGTAATTTAATCATAATGCAAAGAATATTGAGCAAATTGAACTAATCGTAGAATAGATTTCGAAGAGTACACTTTCAACTACAAAGTCAGACGTCCCTCACATTGGGTAGCATTTTCTCTTTTAAAACTATAATACAAACAAAAAGAGCCGAAACGGTAACGCACTCACACTCCGATAGCAGAGTTACGCGCTTCAGTGGAGGTCGTCTAGTACGCACGGCACAGAGGAAAATCTCAGTCACTCGCAGTGTAAATGCTTTTATACCCACTTTTTCCAGGGTAAACGTTAGACCTCCTTTTAAGAAAATAAGCTTTTAAAAATAATCGTTGGTCGAGATTCTGCAAAAAATCATACGAGCATTTTGTTACAAAATTCCACGAAATGAATTGATGAAGAATTCTTACGAGGGAAATTTCTACAAGTCCACTAATGAACTCCCATGCACAATAGCCTTTCAGCGGAAGTCCAAAAAGATTTTGCGTTTGTCCAGGATTCTTCATCAATTCCTACAGCTGCAAACGTTAAGTTATGGTGATTTGCAGTGGCCGTTTTCAGTTAGTGTATCTGTTCTTGCTTATGGTAGTTGTAACAGGCCATAAAATAAGCTTGTGATACGAAAATACTTTAATATTACATATTCAGCTACATATTTACAGGAGTAAAAAAACATTTCATTCACTCTACTTGAGCAGATGAATAATTAAATATTGCTTCGGTCTACGATCACATTGGTGTCATGTGAATGGCCTAATGGGAACACCATTCTCATGATCGCGAAACGTATTCGAAGGTTGTATTTCTTTCATTTCTTATATTAACGATCTTCCTCTTTCTCTTTCTCCTAATTGTGAAATATGTCTATTTGGTGATTGATGTTTTCTTAACCCATGCCAAGTGAATGTACTCAGATGCGTCACACATTTTTTTACGCATTCATGAGTGAGTAATGAGTTTTGTGGGCACGGATTTGAGTATTCATATAACTTTTGACAAAATACTCATGAGTATCGTTCATCTGCTATTTTCAAATAGAGGAGTGATCTCAGGCAGTTAGAGTTAGACTACAAAGAGACCAGCGAGAAAACAGTAAGATAAATATTCAATGTTTCTTTACTAATTTCTACGTTCTTTATATAGTTTCATTTTTGCAAAAACAAAACGGTGAATGAATATTTTCTGAGTACTCACTTGAATAATTGAGTACTCACTGAGTACTCACTTGAATAATTGAGTACTCACTGAGTAACAATACTCAAAAATTGTTAGTAGAACTCATGGATGAATTATGCGTAAAGTCGTACTCATAGTATGAGTGCTTTCACTCGGAAGTTCCTCTCTCTTCTTCTAATCCACATGACTTTTCTCATATTCAAGATTGTATAAATTCTGTTTCAAGTTGGTCCTCTACTAACCTTTTTTTCACCTTGTTCCCGAATGCGGACGGAGCACACGTCCGATTGAGCTCAAATTTATACCAGAGATAGAACATCGGAAAAGAAAATCGATATATTTTTGCCCAGAATTTTCTGAGATGTTCTTATATGGGTTTTCTGGAAAACTCCGGTTTCCATCCAGTCGCATTACAGCCCCTCGAAAAAATGGTCCGATTGAGCTCAAATTTTTACCACAGATACTTTAGATTTCAGGTTCTAAATTTTTTTTCCCGAAAAATATGCTTTCCTTCTCGAGATATACGAAAAATGCTGAAAATCATGCAAAAACAGTTAGATTTTTTCAATTTTTTTCACTGACTTTCAGCATTTTTTGTAGATCTTGAGAACGAAAGCATATTTTTCGGAAAAAAATTTTGGAACCTGGGATAGGGTCTAAAGTATTTGTGGTAAAAATTTGAGCTCAATCGGACCATTTTTCCGAGGGGCTGTAATGTGACTGGATGAAAATCGGAGTTTTCCAGAAAACCCATATAAGGACATCTCAGAAAATTCTGGGCAAAAATATATCGAAAATATATCGAATATATCGCAACAAGGTGAAAAAAGAGGGGGGATATCCTTAAATGTCTCTAAATGTTCTTGACTTTTTTTCTCTTTCAACCTCTTTTCGCTTGTTTATAATCAATTATATCTAAATAACGTCCCACTTTCTGTTGTTTCTCCTGTGCGTTGTATCGGTGTTCTTGTTTCGCACGGACTGCGGTGGAATGAGCATGTCAAAGATATGGCTCCTACTTGTTGGTGCAAGCCTGGAGCAATGAGTCGTGTCTGTGGATCAGAAGTTCGGAAAAGAATTTATCTTTCTTCTCTTCTACTAAAATTTGACTATTATTATGCCCCTTATAATAGTTCATTTTCTCTCAGTGTTCGATTCTGTAAACAAACTTGCTGCTTGTGTTACTTCTCAAAAACTTGACTATCGTTCGTCTAGTTTCTTATTTGTCTTAACTCTCGTCCAAAATTCTCATTTCGTCGTAAATATTTCAGACTTGTTCATTTTTTAAAGATTTATCATCATCTCATCCTCTTTTCTCTTCTTTGGTTCACAGTCACGGACTGAAATGTGGAAAAACTTGAAACCTGAATCGTTCATCTGCTATTCGTCTTTCTAAATTCGTATTTTCTTAATGTTAAAAGTCGACTTTATACCAATATTTATAGCTTTCTCATTTATTTATTTATTTTACATTTATTCGTTTTTATATAGTCGTCTTTTTCTTTTTTTCTTCTTTCTAAGTTAGCACCTTGTTTTTTTATCCGCTTCTTTATCTGGTAATTTGTTTGGTGGGGATCGTAGCGTTACAAGGCGAAGACCCTTGGTGATCTTTCTCACTTTACGTGAAAAAATTCATTCATACGGTGAGTTTTTTCTTCATGGTTTTTCTACGATCTTACTTGTTTTTTTTTATAAACTATACTAAAAGAAAAATTGCCTTGTTTTTATTAAAATCTTCATCTTTTTATAACGGTTTTCTGTAATACAACTGAGTCAAAATTTGGCGCTGGATATGAGGAAGTTTAAGACTGAACTAGCCTTCAGTCGTCACCAAGCCTGTCTAGCACATGGATAGCAAAAACCGTACGATCTGTGCACTAAAAAAAGAATTTGTTATCTTCGTTGCCCAGATGTACGGAATTACCTAAAAATGGGCGAAAGAGAAAATGATGATTGTAAAAATAGTGAGATTCAAATATAATATAAGAATAGATAAGCCGAATAAGATTTGTTTATGTGTACAAACTTCTATAAGCTCTCTAATTAACGAGAAACATAATTTTTTTCAATTAATATATGCCAAGAAAACTTAACATGGCGAGACAACAACAGCAGGGTGTTTCATAAAAATTATTAAGTGCTCGGCTTAACTAAGTCGAGCACTTAATAATTTTTATGTAACATCCTCCAGGCATCTATGCTTATTTGGGAATTGAGAGAAAAAGTATCATATCAGTAATACTTGTCGATAGTGACATGCTGGTTGGCAAAATGTGACATGCTAGGTTATATGCTGCTGGTGCGCCAGAGAAAACGTTGCATATAACGGATAAAATGTGATGTTACTTTCAGCCTATTGATCAGTATTAACTAATGAAACATGATACCAATCTAAAAACGGTTTACATGCCATTAAGATACGACATTGTCATCGAAAAAACGTTAATACAACGTGTTTTGCCACGTTGTTTTTGTGATTTTTTAACACTTTTTCCGTTTTTTTATAGTACAATAAAAAAAATTCTTTATTAATATTTAACTGAAGATTAGTGTACCGTGTCACCAAGCAAAAACTGACGTATAACCTCTACAATGCTAGTTAAAGAGCGTCGCTACACTATGAGTTTCTAACTCATTCAGAAAGCGTATTAGCTATCAGAAACGTTTAAAACGAGTAATTTTCTCGTTTGAGTCGACTTGGGTACCCTTACACTGTTCTGGACGATACATAAACCTCGAACTCTATACAGCTGCGTGTTAGTTCGAGGATCTAAAACAGAGTGCCCAAATCTCGTGAGTTGCCAGGAGACTCCTGATTTTTAGACTTTTCTCGTGATTTCAGGAGGTTGTATCACAAAAAAACTTAAGTCTGACTTAAGTCAAAATTTGGACGTAAGTCAGGACTTAAGTCTTTGACAGGTTTTACCGTATCACAAAAAAAACTTAAGTCAAAGGGTGACTTAAGTCATGGGGAATGTAGTCTTAAAGTTAAGATCGAAAACTTAAGTCGGACTTGAGTCATTGACGCATTTTTTTGAATAGATCAGGCATTTAACGATACGATTCGACGAAAACGACATTCTAAGGATTAGAGAATAAACATTTCGTGATTTTGCGGGTTTTTATCCGAAGTTTGTCACTTGTCAACAACTTTTAAAAAGTAAACAAATCACCAGCTTAAGTCTTTTTCGTGATACGATGCCCGGGAGCTGACTTTTAAGATTTTCTACTGATTTTCAATTGTTTTTCTGCATCGATTTTGTTTTTTCCAAAACTGAGATTATCAGTTTCAGAAACAGAATTTCTGGGTCAAGAGTCTAAATAATCGTACATTGAAAGAGTTCGCCGTGTGCTTATCCAATGTTCTCATCACAAGATGAGATTAGTGAACTTGCGAACCCATCGGATCAAAATCTTCTTGCTCAATCCATACTGCAGACTGTAACAAATGATAATACTGTTATATCAA